TTTGGTCTCTTTGTACCTTTCAGACTAACATTTGCTTGGAAATTTAATTGTGCAACTGATGGTGGGGGCAGGCTTGTTTGGCAGGTTCAAACATTACGACAAATTTCTTTGATCAAATTTTTAACATAAAAGGCAGAAATTTGTTGAATTTAATCTACCTGTTGCAGAAGATATGACATCTTAAAAGTCCATGATCAGCACCTCTACTGCTTAAGAAAATGGTGTAGAAAAACTGATGCTGGACCTATTTAGTTTTAGGCAGTCATTCATATTGCCAGCAAGCTAGCTGAATGCTGGATGGGTGGGGAAGTTAAGTTGGTATATATGTAAAATATAACGACACATAGGGATCTGAAATTTTACAGCAATAAGGAAATGTGGAGGTTGTTTTAAAGCAATTTGGATCAAATTTAATTTTTCATTGTCATTGCTTCTTTAATTATTATAAACCTATGGTTTTGTGGGCAATGTGTTTTGTTATACTTTTCAACAATTTCTTTATTTCTGATATTTTATCAAATTGATTTTCCGTCCTTTATAAGTTCACAAACAATTATGTTATTGCACCTCGCATTTTAAATGTCTTAACACTTTGCCATCATATTTGGGGGGGGAATCCAAAGAAACTGGGTGCTAAACATCGCCAATCGGCAAGATGAGGCGGCAAAGTGTTAAAGAATTTCATTCCTCATTCGAAACTTTTCGCGAGTTGTTTGCATTGCATCTGTACACATTTATTCTCTTTTTCACTGTTTTTCAAGTGCTAGGTACGGAATAGAATTAAAAATTTTTCTTCCTTGTAAGTTAATTTTTATCAAACTATTAATATTAAACATGACGTTTTGGAATTATTTCATCATTTTATTATTTGAATTTTAACTAAATTTAGAAGTAGAGACTAGTGTGGATGATACATAAATATGCAGATTGTTATGTATCTGGGAACAGGTGCTTCAATAAGTATGGCTTTTCAGAAATGTCAGCAGCAGTATTGCTAATGTTAAATTCTTTATAGTCTTTTTTATTTCTTGTTGTATTGATTTGGAGGTATTGCTGTCTAAATTCATTCTAAGAATGGTGGTGGAAGGGTTTTGTTATGATTGTCATAAAAAAAATTTGTGTAGATGGCTGGTCGTAATATTTCACGCCAAGTATCGTTGAAAACATGATTCTACTTTTAAGATATATTCTAGGGGCTAAAATTTTCTGCTAATGCCACTTAAATTTCTTTGATTATCCCCTTCTTATTCTTATTCTTCGCCAACAATGGCCGTGCACATAGCCACCTCCATCTGTTCATGTTGTTTTTGTTTAGTTTAAGGATAAATAAATTCTGATGTCTGACACTCATCATGAGAGAAATGAAAGCGAGGTTACAGCTTACTGTCAGTTGCGTATTTTTGTCTAAACCTAGTTTGCCCATTGTGGGTAGCAGTGAATTATTGTACAACAGCTATTCGTTGTAATTTATAGTGATTCTTAGTTTACTTGTAGAAGTTACTCCCATCACATTCCTTTAATCCTAGTAGCGTCTCAAAGTATTCTTGCTTACCACTGTAGTCAACCTCTGCTTGTGTCCATTGTATTATCCTGTGTTAAAGTCTTCCCCAATTTCATGTCTTGCCTATTAATTATTCGTTCATTAATGTCAATTGGCTCTAGTTTTAGAGAGGAAGAAAGGTTTTTTTTGTATGTGTGTGTGTGCGTTTTGCTTTGACTCAAGACTTGCAAGGTCTGTAAAGTTCTTGCATAAGACTTGCAATGTGCTTAGGTCTGATCAATCATACGAATATCTTTTTAACGTTATTTCACACCCGTCAGACCGTGGACAGTGTTGTTTGTAGAATCGCTGGATCAGATGTAGTACCAAAGATACTTGGCCGTTTCATTAATTTGGACCCGTCATACTGTACTGTTGACCATAAGTGGACTGTCGGCTTTTCTACTTTCTCAATTTTGTTGATGTTCAAGACCAAGTTCAAGATTTCCAGGTAATATTATTGGATCATAGAACAGGGATGGGCATTCTCTAAGTAGAGACTGAATTTTTTTTTATTTGATAGTATTAAAATCCTTAAGTTCCTTTTTAGTCGTGAGGTTACTCTGATTATGAGTGCTCATGGAAAATCTGATTGTTCCAAATGAATTTTGAAAGTTAGGTGAAAACATACAACTGACACAGCAGTTTTATCTTATGGGTTTCTGATCAAGATACTGTCCTGCCCAAAGAATTGTTTTAATGAGGCTGGTATTTCTCCCAATAGAAAGGTACAAAATCAGTCATTTTCTTTTTTTGTCTTTTTGTGAGGGTAGCGTATGTATCTAATTCAACCAGCCCTCCTAAATATAGCAGCAACAAAAAAACTGTTGTTATGCATGAGTTTGTGGTTTTGAGCTGGGGATGGGAGTTTTATGCATGACACTCTATTGTGCACTACGGGTACACCCCCCTTACCAAGATTTGTAAACTTCATCAGTGGTCCAGTTCCAGCTCACTCATATTGTTCTTTTCTGTCTCGAGTCATTCATTATGTAACAACAGCTGCAAAGAGGTCGCCAACCAGGAGTCAGAATAGTCTTTGAGGGGGGGGAGGGGGGTAACCAGGCCCCATTAAAGTGTGCAGAATTTGGGGGGAGGGGATCCTGTAACAAGCCATCTACACCGTTGTAGGTGTGGGTTATGTTGTAACAGGCAAATTTCAGTCTTTTTTATTTTCTTAGACTTACCCATGGTGAAGTACTGCTGTTGACAAAAAAAGGTTACTTTTGTTTTTCACTGCTATATTGCCAGGGTCGAAGGTGGGGGTCTTTGCTTTCTCTGCTTGACTAATCTGGTGTATAAGATTTAGCCTATAAAATATTTTTTTGCAAGTAACACAGGCTTTGTCAATGTTGCTTCCTTTTTTATATTATGATCATAGTGTTTTTGTTGTCATCCTGAGAAATTGCCCGACATGTTACTACTTCTGAAATAACATGGGCTGAGGTCCAGAGTGAAGATGGACAAAATGTAGAGTAGGCAGATGTTGCACTTAAAGGCATTTATAGAGTGAAACTCGAGGAAATCAACTGAATTCTCTCATCTTTGTTACGATAGTTGCAGTAGCTAGTAAAATATAGGAATTACATTTCCATGTCATGTTTTTCAAGAGACGCAGTACAAAGTTGAAAGATAATAAGCAGATAGTGGTAAAGTAGCACTGGTTCCCCCATCACTAACCACATATATAAAAACAGTTCTTGTTCTATGGTTTTCCGGAATCTTAGTACATAGTGTTTCATTTCTGGTATGTTCTAGTCAGTTGTTTTGAGAAGTATGCCCATCCCTGGTTACATTATACACATATATTTTGTATACATTGTCCAGATATAAGCATGATTTGTACTTGTGCCTTCTCTGATCAACCTGTTTTCCAACAAGTAGGTACCACAAGAGAAAATCCTGTCAGTTTGTGAGCTTTAATATACAATACTTAACCTATTTGAGAAAAAAAAAAGAATAGAAAAAAAGGGACACACACTGAAAAGCATTCAAATTCTATCGGCGAACCAAAAACAGCTGTGACAAACCATTTTGGATTTTGAATTACCTCATTGTGCTGCAAAATGGAACAGCCACTCAACATCTAACATTCCATGAAGTCAAGACCGTTAACAAGTTTTTCTTTTATTCATTTTGTTTTTCCTGCAAGTGAGGAAATCAACTAAAAACTGGATAGATACTCGGGAACAGAAAGCTCTAAAGTCGGGTGCAGAACAATTAATGACCCTGTTGCATTAATGACCTCTCCATGGCACAGGTTTCTCACTGTAATCTGTGATTTGGTGTGCTTTGGGACTTAAAATAAAATTATTTAAATTTAAATCATTCTGTTCATACATTCTACCATGCATTTTTACCCAGTATTGAAAGGGTCCTGCCCTTTTCGCACCATTGAGTCTTTTGGACATCTCTTTCCAGGTTTTCTACCATACTTTTTAAAACTGTTTCAATGGCAAGCAAATGTTTTTCCATACTAACATGGAATTGTCTAGAGAATAAGATTTCCAAAGCCACTTGATTGTTTTGTTTTACTTCCTCTTAGTATTTGTGGAGTGTAAATGTGTAGACGCGTTTTGCAGAGTGTATTTTGTCAAAAGTAATTTTTTTTAAACTCATTTTTTCTCCTTTTAAACTAGTGTATTTTCAAAATGTGCGTATCCTGTTCTGACATTGCAACAAAAATTACAATTTGAAAATCTTGTCAGTCATTGAAGTTTTAAATCTTGAGTTGAGCTAGTACAACAATGTCAAGACTTTTTTTGTTGTTGTTGTTCTCAAAATGATTGTTATGGAAGTAATAGTTGTTGGGTTTTTTTTTATGGCCAACAGCTTCCATTTCCAAGCTGGGTGCTTTTCGTTCAGCTCAGTACGATCTCTTGTGGTATCTGCAACAAGAATAGACGTTAACAAAGTATTAGGTTAAAGAAGGCAGTGTTGAAGGTCACAATGTATTATATTTTAAATATGTTCCAAAAGATGATCCATTCATTGACATTCATGTAGGAGTTGAGGAAATTACTACGGGGTGTTTTTTTTTGGGGGGGGGTGCAAACAATTCTGTCCCCTCTCTAATTTAAACAACAATGACCAAGAAATTATTCTTTGCAAATTCTTTGTCAGGTGGGTTTTTTTAATATATTTTTTTTATTCCTAATCATTTTTTAATTGCAAGTTTTGCATGTCCTCCCGCATTATCAAATACCTGAACAAGTACATCACCGTCTTCACTCTTCGTTTTGCTTTGGCATTTAAAGATCATCACAATGCACTATGTAGAATGGACAGTGCATTTGCAGCTTATTTAGAAAGCAAAGCAACAACATATCCCATCCTATTTTGCTTTATATATTATATTTTGCTTATGTTTTCTCCTAATTTCTCTTATGACTGCAGTAAGATGTAGTATCTTTTATTCATGATGCATGTATTTTGTTTTCTTTTTCAGGTTTTGCACGAAAAGGATAGGAAAAAGATGGGGTCTTTTGTGTCAATTTTCAAAAAGATGTTAGGTAAAAAAGAGATGCGGATATTGATGGTCGGCTTGGATGCTGCTGGCAAGACAACCATTTTGTACAAGCTAAAACTTGGAGAGATTGTTACAACAATTCCTACAATAGGTAAGAGTTTTGTGTAGCTTTTTCTTCTCCTCCTTCTCTCCCACTGAGCCCTATCCTATGTACCATCAAGGCATTTGAGATCTGCAGATGAAAATCTCACAAGTGCCCAATGTAAAGTCTAACAAGTTGGGTGAAAGAGCTTTTTCTTCCTGTGCCCTCAAAGTTTGGAAATCCTTCCCAAAAGAAATGTGTATCATATTAGAGAGAGTTTTAAAATACCCTAAAGAGAAATATGTTCAACAGTATCCTTTGTCAGTAATGTTTGAGCCTAAAGACACATTTGTTCAACAGTGTCCTTTGCCAGTAAATTTTGTATGTATGTGGGAAAGTGATAAGGTCTGGAAGTTGTGTGTGGGTTGTTAAATGGTTTCACAGTGTGCATTTTCTGTTCCTTATTCATCAGTTCAGTTGAAGTTCTGCATTGTCTGCTTGGAGTTGTTTAGAGGTTTAAGGTTACAAGCAGTATGAATTCCCTTTATTTTTTTAATTAAAAAAAAGAAAATTAATATTTCTGGTCTAAGTGTTGAGTTTATTAGAGTTATATGTAGTCGTTTGGCTTTTGTTGTTTTGTTTGAGGAGGTGGGGGTGTCTTTATTCGTAAATATAAAATAAAGGAGGTATTTTATATGTTAATTTTTTTTCTGATCTTCATTTTTTTTACAGGTTTCAATGTAGAGACTGTTGAGTACAAGAATATCAGTTTTACTGTATGGGATGTAGGCGGTCAAGACAAAATCAGACCATTGTGGAGACATTATTTCCAGAATACTCAAGGTAATTGGTATATTGTTTTGTTTGTAATTTTTATGTCAAATTATTATTTGTTAATATTTTTGCTGTTTTGGAGAGAAATCTGGCGTCTGGGCGAATCTCGACGTAAAGGCAACTGAAATATGTTTATCGAGAACCTTTTTGCAATATCTTTCTCACTTCTTTATTTCTGAATAGATTAACTTCTTTATTTCCTATAGAGTATCTAATATCAATTTATGGGCATTTGGGGTTATTTGTGTCATCTTAAAGGTTGTTCATTTGCCTTACTTTCTATGAAGAAAAAAAAATCTATTTACCTTGAATAGAAGTCCAGATATTTGCTATTGAAGGAGGTGGGGTTGCTTGGTTTCATGGTGAAATTAGCCCAAAAAAATGTCCTCCAAAGTTTGGTAACTCCAGTTGCTAAAGAGTCTTTGGAATCTGAAAAATTACATACTTTGTGCCTTTAACGTAGCTGCCACTTTTCCGCTAAATTGTGGAAACTCCGCTTCATCTAGCTTTTCCCACTACTGTCCTCCTTCGTCCGCTGGACCGCTCTCGGTCGCAAATTGCGATACTTTTTTTTTTACACACAGAAAACACCGAACCGGGAGAGAGACGAAAACGCCCGTAGCTTTCTACTTCCGTTCTTCTAGGCCTAGCGCTAGTTTCACATTGTTTATTGTTGTGGAGCAACATAGTTTCGATCGGGCATCGGGACGTTGGCGCGCCGAGTTGTAATTGAAAACGGCGGAAATTTGAGAGAAATTGATGCAGAATGCAAAAATAAAAGGAGCTGGAATGAGAAAGAAAGAAGCAGCTGGTGTGCAACTTGAAAAGTTCATTAGAAAATAAAACTAGCCGCTTGCTGCACTATGCTGCGTTTGGTGCGCTAAAGAAATCGCGGCACTCCTGCACAATTGCGGTCCCGTTTGTTTACATGACGGCTATTGTGGCTATGGAAGTGAATCTAGATCCAGATAATCTATCTGTAGTAATAATCTAGGTCTACACATATTCTAGATTCTAGATCTAGATAGCCTAGGCTATAATTTTAATTCAGTTTAGATCACTAAATAAGAAACACACTACAGGGGCACTAAGTGCAAATGGGACTGCAATTGTACAGGAGTGCCGAAATCGCTCAGTACAGCGGCAAGGTGTTGCCTCCCTGATCCAATACTGCTCTACATCGATGTACAAGTTTAAAGTGAAAGAAATCTTTTTATGAGACACCAGCTGGCAACAAACACTGGATTTTTAGTCACAAAGTCCAAACTGTGTCAAATTGTCTCAAATGCTTGTTAGTCAACTTAGTGCCTTTGTTTGTTTTTTTTTGGGGGGGGGGTTCAAATACATTTTAATTCAGTTGTCTATGGTTAACAAATATGACAGTTTTCCCTTCCAAAACCGTAGGCTAGATTTTCCAGTATATTGCCTCTGGATCTCACTGGTTTTACTCTAGCCTTCGGAGAGCCCGCGTACGCTTTCGCGGGAATTTCCTCCTTTTTTAAAATTCCAGAGTGGCAGCTATGCTTTAATCATTCACTTTTAAATTTGTTTTTATTGGAACATAAATGAGGTTGGGCCAAAAAAATAGAAATTTCCAAACCGGTGGGAAAATGCATGTTTCTCCAATTTCTTTATTATGACAAGCGCCTGATTTCACCACGCTGCCTTACCTTTGCCATTGAAGAATCTGTTGGTTATTCCTTTTTAAAGGGTAAAAACTATGTGATAAAACTAGAGAAACATGTTTTGTGAGTTCCAAAAAGGAACTTCGTTTCATTCAGAGTAAATTATTATTTACAGTACAGTCATATTTTTGTGATTTCCTTTTTCAGGTTTGATTTTTGTCGTGGATAGTAATGACAGAGAACGCGTCGGAGAAGCCAGAGAAGAATTGTCGAGAATGTTGAATGAAGATGAACTGAGAGATGCCAAGGTTCTTGTATTTGCCAATAAGCAGGTATGTCCCGTAGTGAAGAGTGATGTTGTCAACCTTTGCATGGTCCAGTGTGGTATGCACTGCAGCACTTCCACTAATAACAAATACTAAGAGGTCCATCTTTCACAAATTGAAAGATTTTATGGTCGCTTTTAAGGACAAGCGGGCTAACCCAGATTTAAGGGGTTTCCAGAAATCTTGACCTACACTAGAAGTGGGTATTGCACTACCTATTGGAGAAGTTTGGTTTCATTAGTGTGTATTATATTTGTTTGGTTATAGAGAAAACCACTCTTGTCTTTTAAAGAAACTGCACAAGGGGCAAAAACTTCACCTTTGATTTTCTCAAAACAGTATTTTTCTGGATGGCCCCGTTGTGCTTAAAAGTGACCATATATTTGTAAAATGATCGTAGGAGAGCAGCTGTATAGTCATAAAGGGTGAATATATGCCTTAGGATGCATTGAAGTTGCAAAAATGATATGTGCAGTACAGGGAATTTAATGGACATGCTCGATACCCAGTGGTTCATTTCATCATTCATCTCATTTTATCAACTGTTGTTTTGAAGACTAGATTCCTTTTTGGTGTGTGATATTTGTACAACACATTGTTATTTGTCTGCTCCAAACATTGTTTAAAACATACTAATTCATAAGTGGGTGGTTGGCGGGTGCTTTAGTATGGTTTGCTCCTTCTTTCCTATAAAAATCTAATCCTCTCCATCTCCCCTCCTTCTTTTTTGTGTTTGTTACTCTCTGGTAACATCTCTAATCTTTGTATATGACCTTATTGTGTTGCAAGTGCCGTAAAACTCTTACAAAAACTAAACTAATTCATTTTCAAAAAAACAAATAATGAAATAGGGTGAAAAATAGCACGCAAACAAGCAAGTGCTGATCAAGAAATTTTGTAGACACAAATAGATAAAAGAAATAGACATCCTTGTCACTCTCTCATACACTCTCAAACAAGATGTGCAGTCCTTAAACCATGACATGTGCAGGTTTTATGTAAGGCCTGTTCTAAGAAAAGGAACATATCTCAACATGAAATTAAACACATCTGTTAAAGATGTCTTCAGAAGCAACCTGACATGATGAAAAATGTATAATATGAACTGTAAAAATCGATTATAAGTTAAAGTTGATTTTGTTGTTTCCCATTACACACATAAATCTATTTTTTGGTTCTCATGCACCAGGTTGTTTTTTTTCCCCTTATTTCTCAGGATCTTCCCAATGCAATGAATGCTGCTGAGGTGACGGATAAGTTGGGTCTCCATAATTTGAGAAGTCGTGTCTGGTACATCCAAGCTACATGTGCTACTAGTGGTGATGGACTGTATGAAGGACTTGACTGGCTTTCAAATAATTTGAGGAAAAATTGATTTTCTAAAAATTAAATTTCTTTTCCTCAAGTTTGCTCTGTAGTTGAAGGGCAAGAAGGAAGCAATTTATATTTTGTTCTTGTGGACTTAAATAAGTGCAACATATTAAAAATTAGGGGGGGGGGTGCCATCCAGCCAAACCACCGCTACCAAGTCGTCTCGTCCCCCGTGGGTTTTTTTTTGGTTGTTTTTTTAAAAATTATTATTATTAAATAAATTATGCAGTGTCTGAGAGGGCTATTCTTTTATATTTTAGTATTTGGAAATTGTTTCTATTCACATTGTTGCTAGTTGTTTCATGATAAAACTGATTGAAAGGTGGATGCATTATATTGACTTTGTGTGTGGATATCTTTGTTGAAATGCTCATGTTCGCATACATGCAAGCCTCTTTCATGTGATCTGTAATATTACCTCACAAGTTTTAACGGAAATAATTGTCTGGAATGACAAGGCTGATGTTGTTTATTGTTTGGATGGGCCACTGTGAACGGTTCCTCCAGATTTTACTGGCTGATGAATGAATAATAGTTAGATTGTATTTTGTAAGCTGTTGGTTGGTGAGGATTGAAATTTTGTCAGTTTATTGATATTTTTTGGATAGGTTCAACTCTAGATAGTCATAGTGAGCAGGTTCCATCTATTATTATAGAAAATTGTTGGAGGTACTTTCTGATTCTCTTACTTGCACTGTTATCGTGCCCTTTTTTTTTTTTTCAGACTAGGTATATATTTAGTCCTGTACATAATTACTTCTGTTTGTCGCATTTTGTTTCACGGTTGCATCTTCACTTTTTCTGTATTGAGATCAATTCATTCCTCAGCTGGTTTGTATCATAGTGTTGGGTTAATTGTGGCTTGTTATTTATTTATTTTTTTATTTAACGAAGTCCCAGTGTTGCTTCTGCTAGGGAACAGTTGGTCTGTTTTTGTGTCTTTTTTTCTTTTTGGTGCAAATGCTGAGTTTTTCTGATATTTCGTAAATTATGGTTTTACTTTCCATGCTCCTCCTCATCAAGTCTGGATCCTGTACTAGGGTTACCGAGGATTTTTTGTATTCAGACATATCTTTTTCACTTCCTTGGGATTCATTTAATCTTCATGAGTATCGGGTTCCTTTGTCACGCGTTTGTTGCCTCTACTTTGGTGCGTTTTTCTTTTGTTCACATTGTTGATGCCATTACTGCTGTCAGTGAACAATACTTTTTATTTTCAACTCATTCCAATGGAAGAGTTTGGTACTTTGTATTTTTTACATATATTTATATTACATCCTGTTGTCTTTGTAACAATTAAGTGTCCTTCATGCAGCTTTTGAAGTTTCATTAGTATGGTTTATTATCATGAGTGTTGTGCTTCTTCTTCCCCCCCCCAGAAATGTGCTCAGTGCTCATAAGTCTGATAAATCAAACAGCACAATGATCAAATTATGTATGTAGCCAATATCTCTGAACTCATCCCTTTGTTAATTTGATAATGAACCTTATTGACATTTAAGCACAGGGTGCCACTGGTGGGTCCTATTTCTTTACTTTCCCTCTTGTTCTGTCTCTCTATCTTATTTTTTTCTTGCTCTAAATAACCATTATTGTGCCAATGTGCTTCTCTTTACTCAAACAAACAAAAAAACTGATACAAGCTGATATTTTCAAGGGTCAAGCTCAAAATTGGTATGAAGTTTTTGTTGCTATTTTTTTAAATTGTCTCATATGCATCTTGATGATAAGTCAACTCAAAATACTGATCAGTGATAATGCTATGGACCTTGAAATTTGCTTGTTTTTAAAACTTGATAAAAGTTTTGCTGTATGGCAGCAGCCAGAAATCTTTCAGTAGAGCTGAGAGAATACAATATGCCTTCTTTCTAGGTGTCACAGGTGTGTTACCAGTTGTTGTTTTTTTAACAGTACATTGCCCAGTTTTGCAAAGGTATACACTGGTGAGCGAACGCCTTTTTTACCCCTCACTCGAACAAAGCTTGATGTGCCTTCACATTGTGAGGAATATACTACAGTGGCATGACACTTCACTGTATATTTTTTTAAATTTATTTTTGACTTACCATTTACATGGGTGGCACACACATATGGGAATTGGATGTGAGTGTCCCATCAAATATATATCTACTGAAATAAAAGCAGTACACGTGTGTGATATCTTTGGATAAATTATGGTACTGTTTGCTTTCTATTTTTGCTTTGTCTCGATGAATGGTAACTGATTAGTGTAGACAAAAACTTTCAGAATCTGCATTGGATGCTTGGAAATTTCATGGCCATGGGTTTCTTCACTCACCATTGTTGTGTGAAAGTTGAGAACTGTTGTATCAATTAAGGGTAGTAGTCTTTGTAAAAGATCACAAATGTTAACAAAAGTGTGAAGCATTCTTCGTCACAGGGTGCAAAGGGGTAGCCAGCCAGCCAACACCCAGGCATTATGTCGTTTCCATACAGGTGAAAGAGGATTTCAGCGTTGTAATATTTGTTTTACAATACCACAAACTATGTGTATCTGTAGATTAAGCTTGTTTACAGGGATCAGGGTATTGGTGATTACTTTTTTCTTTTCATTTTGAAAACTGCGAAGTCTTTACTTGTAGAGCAAAAAGAACATTCCCTTTTTTCCAATTTTGCAAGGCTCAGTGATTACTGTTTATTATTCCCCTTAGGGTCAGCTTCTGATTTTCAAATTAAAAAGTAAGCTAATGCTTTGTTGTTTATGGGGTAATGGGATGTGTATGTATTCAGTAGTTGACCATGTGTGTTCATACAGGTCAGTATGTGGGCCATCAAGCCTTTTCCTTAACACCTGTTCACATAGATGATTGAAGAGCGTCATAGGTCATGGATGTGTTGTTTCTTTTGTTTTTATGGATAAAGTACTGCTGTGTATGTTAAACTGAATGCTATGAGCTGTCAGTGTGCATGCATGCTAAATGTACTTGTATGCAACAGTGTTAAGGAGCTTTCTATGTTGAACAGAACATTGTGGATGTAGTCAAATTCCAATAAAAAATAATCCTATACTTCAGGTCTTCTCTTCTTGTGTTTTGTTTGGCATTTTAAAATTTTTAGCCCTGTATTTTATAGAATCATTTTCTTAATGAAGTTTGGGATGGACAAATGTCTTGCTTTTTCCCTGTCTTGGATACATTGTCACAAAATGTTAATTTTTGACAGTACTATGGAGTGCTAGACTTAATTACACCAGAGCATTTTGATTTTAGTTACTTTCAAATCCCAATCATTGTTGAAATGCAGTTAATCTGTGGTGTGGGCCAGGACAAGAGGTGGAAGTTTTTTTGTTGTGAAACCATTTGTGTGGAGATTTTTAAAAACTATATAGATCTATTACTATTGTGTTATGTTGTGATATTGAGCTTGATCAGAAAAAAAATTCGGTTGACATGGATCTTATCCTAAAGGTTGCCACTGTTCACAAATTTTTTGGCCTTTTGATTTGTGTGTTTTTGCACTGTCTTTTATTTTTTTTAAAATATAGGTTAGGGTGTCAGATAGTAAGTCATAAACAAAGACAGGATTTAGAATGAAATTGTATGGGTTCGGTTTTTGTTCACTGTATCCATTGAAAGAAAGCTGAGAAAATGGAATCTGGACAGTGCATTGTTTATTGGCAGAGCAAATTGCAGACTTGTTCGTGGGCTCCATTGTAGTTAAATTTTACCATAACAGTTTGTGTTTATTAACCCTATATGATCAGTAGAATTATTTTGGCGTTATGCAAAGCTGGAACTTCATTTGGAACACAGGCTTACATTTAAAAGGTGATCTGAAATGTTCACAATACAAACGTTGACATTTTTGTGGTTTGTGTTGATTTTGGGCTGTTTTGTACAGGGCCATAAACTATGGGACCTGTCAAAATGACATTCAGGCACTTACAAAGCCCAATTCTATGTTAATATCAATGGAGGGTGTCTTCTTTTCTTTTGTAGTGGCTACTGTAATGTTTGTTTTTCCAGTCCCAACTGTTTAACAATTATGGTTTGTTTTTTTCTTTCACAGGGGATTCAAGTGAGAACTGATCAAAATGGGGAACATGTTTGCTTCGCTGTTCAAGGGCCTCTTTGGGAGGTCCGAAATGAGAATTTTGATGGTTGGTTTGGATGCTGCTGGAAAGACCACAATCTTGTACAAGTTGAAACTGGGTGAAATTGTCACAACGATCCCAACAATTGGTAAGTCATTACAGTACCGCAGTATTCCACCAACTTTTGAACAAGCCTGAAGTTGGCGTTGTAGTGGGACTTTTTGTATAACAGGGTTCTAATTGAACAAATTTAGAGTCTGAAAGTAAATGTTTTCATTATATGTAAATGGTTTAATACAACCAAAAAAAAATACAACACATGTGTATTAGAAAAATTAATGACCTGAAAACCTGTTTGCGTGCATGCTACACTGCAGTATGTTTATATTTAGGTGTTCCTTTTCATGCTTTAGCAAAACCTGGCAACAAAGGCATCTAGCAACATATAATGAGGTTGTCTTACTTGTAATTGTTGTAATTAGACCATTTACATTTATTTAGTACCATGTTGTAATAAAGATGTTTGAAAGAAAAGATTTTAATTTACTATTTAATTTTTTTTTCTTTTAGTTAAAAAGAAATGTTCTATGTACTTGATAACCATTTTGCAAAAGGAAGGGAAAACTTTTCTGGATAGCATGTGTTTTAAAGGCTTTTGTTTTTTGTTGGGTGTTTTTGTTTTTTTAAACATTAATGCAGTGTGTCCTTCATAAAATCAGTTGTGGTTGTTTTTTCCAGGGTTCAATGTAGAGACAGTGGAGTACAAGAACATCAGCTTCACAGTGTGGGATGTTGGTGGCCAAGACAAAATTCGACCCCTTTGGAGGCATTATTTTCAGAACACACAAGGTAAGATTGATGAGAGAGTGTATGTACAGGTAGAATTTCATTAGTATGCTTCTCTTTGTCTTTCGGCACTTAAATAGCCTTATTGTGTTGCAAGTTGCATAAAACTTTTACTAAAACTAAACACTTTCTTTGTGTCCGTTGAGCATCATTTACGTGGTACAGCCATTTATTGCAGTTTATAATAAAGTGATAAGTTTTATCGTTTCGTGGCTTTTCCTCACACCTGCCGTGATTTCTTTTTCATGACATGTAAACTTGTTTTGTATCTATGAGAAAATCAGTTTAGGTTGATCCGCAGTCGGGTTGAGCACTTTGCCATCACATCTCTATGATGGACGATGTGACTCATGAGCCTTGTGATGGCAAAGTGTTAAGCCATTCCTATAGAATCTTCTTATTTTGTGTACATGAGGGTCCTGGTGATTAAAAATTCACTTTTTGGAGAGTTGCGAGTCATAGTTCAAGATAGTGGTCTATTCTTTCTCTTTTAAAAAAATGATAAAATAATAAAGGGAGAACGATAAATCAAGAATAGTATTTTTCATGTTTCAAATTGGCATCATGGTGATTGAAGTTAAAATGCATGCTAAAGGGCTTACAGCTGGTGAGTTAAAAAGTATTGAAGCTGCATGTTTGTTTCATGTTGGGGGGGGGGGGGTGTCTTCGATAACTAATAAATCCTAAGGAATTGTGTAGTATAGAAATTCTAAGAGAGGGAGAGTATGAGTAACATAACAGTAAAGTTTAAGAAAATTGTGAAAAGGTCTTTAAAACCCTTGACTAAGGGGAGACGTAGTGATTTGAGTCAATGACAAGGCTTGATTCTGTTCTCAATTTTTTCAGGACTCATTTTTGTGATAGACAGTAATGACAGAGAAAGAGTTGGTGAAGCAAGAGAAGAATTGATGAGGATGCTGAATGAAGATGAACTGAGAGATGCCATCCTCCTTGTGTTTGCGAACAAACAGGTATACTCATTTCTTTTGGGAATAATTTTAGGTCTTTTTGATTTATGAAAAGATTGTGACCTCGTATAGGTACCGCAAACTGGCCTTGCGCCCCCGTGGCGCACTGTCACTGTCACAAAGACCAAAACCCATATTTTTGCCTACCTAAAACACCATGTGGTCATGTATACACACAGACACTTGGTATATCAGAAGAAAGAGGAGCTTTTCCTCTTTTAAGTGGTATTATTTATTTGAATCAACGATTCTTTTGAAAGCAAAATCTTATGGGATAAAAGACAACACTATCGAGGTTTTCACTGTAGCGGCCGCGTGTTTCGTATATTGGTTTTTAACTCACTTCAGACGGGTCACACAACAGTTGCGTGACCCGCGGCGGGTCTCACAAGCCCTGCGTGACCAACTTTGGAATTTTTTTTCCCGCTCTACAAATCACGCACGGATCGCGAGACCCGCCTCGTACCCTTGTTTGGCCAAGCCTGAGCTACTTAGACTTCGTTTCGTATCTCTGGGGCCGGTAGTTTTTAAGTTATTGAAGCTGAAGGACAGTGACCCCAACTGGGGTTGAACAGACCGGAACTCGCGCTTTGTTTTTTTTTTCTATACAGCTGATAGTAATCCGACAGTCGCGTCGTAGTAACGGTCGAAGAAGTCGCATGAACAAGAATCACATAATTTCGACATTTTCTATACTTCTGTGCGTTTTACTAGTTCTAGTGTCTCAGAATATGATGTGTCTAATAGTAAGGATCCTGGAATGTCGGCCCGAGTCGTAGTTCTTGGGCTAGATCTAGCACTAGTACCGGTGTTGTTTTTCGCGCAACGAAATCACAACGTCGTGCCGTACATCTGTCTCATGTAATTCAGTGTATGGGTCTGAATCAATGCACAGACCAGCTTTTATATTTTCACCAAACACTCGCACAGGTATACAAATCAAACCAGAACACTTTGAACTTTTATTTTTGTTGTTGCAGTGAATTTCATTCTACTTGTCACGTCTCTGGAAATTTTTCGGAAAATCAAATTCATGCCAATTTTTAAAAAATCATACAAATTAAAGTATTAGACTTAGACAACTTTAGTTTTTTGTATTAGATTAAGCTTGAATGTTACTTTACTGTGTCAAAAAATGATTACAATAGGGTAATTCTGAGAGTTGTGGTGATTTATTGAAATACCCCCAAAAACGCCAGTCTTCAACGCTTGTGACTGGTGAAAGGGCCCAGTCGCAAGTGAGTTAAGAGTGGCCTCGGTTGAACAGGAACGGGGAGCGTATGGTATTAGATACTGCAATCTGATTCGTCGATATTTCAAGATGAGAAACCGCTCTTTCCGGTGCTATATTTCTAAAGACTGTCCTTAAAGAACTAATAGAAGAGATTTGCGTGTGAAAACTTTCGATACTGTTTTTTTTATGGAACCAGTGATCGGACTGACTACGAAAATATATCGGCAGAAAGCCCATTCATTCCTCTTCAAGAATAACACAGCCATTATACGCAAATAAATAACGGACAATCCCCATTGGCTCGCAAGCAGGGCGCCATAGCCCCCGTTTCGTATAAATTCTTTCTCCTTCCCGTCAGCGCGGCCCGACGCGCAGCCGATAAGCCGGTGGTCGTGAGTGGTGATTTTAACCTCCCCTTGTATTCCTTGCCATTTTGGTCAAAAAGCCATGTTTACATCAATAAATTTTGATCTTCTGGTTATTTGATAGCCCTGAAAAAATTGGGCTTGTTCTCTATGTGCATGGGTGTGTTTACAAGTTTTTGTGAATGTTCATTCAAATTTAAAAATGTTGTGGCATCTCAAAGTGCAGACATTTCGCAATTTAAAAAATATAGCATTTTTCTGCCACTTCAGATGTTCATAACTTTGTTAAAAATGAAGCTTTATATGCATAAATTTAGTATCAAAATGCTCAGAATAATCTAGCATCTGCGTTTGTTGCCACACAAATGGCAAAAGTTGCCATTAATTTTCAAGCTTTCAACTCTGTGACGACGTATAGAGCAATATGTTGAAAGAGGTAACTCAATCTAAAGTACCAGAATCTCTTGTGCTCTGTTTTAAGCATCCAATATATCATTTGTAGCCACACAGAGTGTAAAAACGTGAAAAGGAAAGGTTTCACAACAGAATGAAATAAAGATTAGGATAGCACATAGACAACCACAAAAATGAACAAAGGTGTGTCCACCTATCCGAAGATGAGCCGTTTTAACCCTAAACGTGTGTAATTCAAGAAAAAATACAGGATATTATATGAAAATTATGGAATCACACACAGGGAGCCTGCCAGTGTCGGTACTCGGTTTTGGTGGAGACACGCTCTAACAAAACACATTTTTATATATATATAAAGGTAGGAACAACATCAAATTAAATTACATTACGCTATATAACACACACACACACACACCCAAAAAAAACAACACATCGGAACAATAACACACCAACAAATTAAAACACAACAAAGAGGAAAAAATAAAAGAGGAACAGCTATACAAATAGTATGTAATGTACTTATTTATACTCTTCACATGAAAATAAATAAATGCGGTGTCAACAAGTGAGAAAGAGACGGAGTGAAGCTAAAGTTTTAGGTTTTAGTAGAGGTTTTACGGCACTCGCAACTCTGCATAAGGTCATATGAGCGCCAGAAGATTGAAATCAGAGGACTTTGAAATTTCAGTTTGTGGTGGTACCTACTTGTCAATTGCCCTTAACCTGGCATTCAGCAAGGTAATTTTTGTGCTTTGCTGGTTTTACATGAACATGTACAAGTTTCCAGAGGATTTCTTTTATTTATCAGCATTGCTTAGGCAGATGGCCTCTTTAGTGCAAATGCAAGTTTGTTTTTTTTCTCAGTCCGAATAGACAAAAATTATATTCGGACTCTGAATTGAGTCCAGCATGACATCCCTTTCGACTTCTGACCCTTATTCCTAAAATATTTCCAGCATCTATGAAAAAATTTTCAATTACATGTATAATGATAACAAGCGAGACGTGAACTTTAATATCCAGTACTAGATCTATCTAAACTGGCCCTCCCTGGATCATTAGTTTGAACAGAACAACTAAGTTGAGTTGACCTTGCCGGGGGCAACGTTAATAAGGTCGACTAATGAGATTGCGCGTAGCAATATCGCACTCTCGACTTGCTGTGGGAAGAGGCCACGGCTGTCCATTTTGTGCGATGTGATTTTTAAAAAAATACTTAAAAACTATAACACAACAAAATGAAATTAAACATGTGGAAAGACAAATGGTGGTGGAAGTAATGATGATACTATAGTGGTGGTGGAAAGACCATGAGTTGTGGGTTACCGTGTACTTAAACACTGACATTGGGTAGATATAATGAGAGTGCAGTCTTTTGACTTTTGACACAATTACACAGTCCCTGTAGGCAATTCTAGTTCTGAATCTGGTTTTACATAAAAATCCCCCGACGACAGTTTTATCATGTAACCTCCTCACATTCACATAACTCACTTAGAAGCTGAGTCCGAATAAATAAAACATTTTTTTCGGACCCGAGTCCGAATAGATAAAACCCTTATTCGGACTCGGAAAAGAGACTGAAGTAAGAGGAGGGGGCAGGTAGAACACGGTATGTCGTCTGGTATCCAAGGCAACATTTGGCTTCACTGGAAATTGACTGCTAAGTAGATCTTGATAATATTTTAATGCACTTTAGATGTGTTTTTCTTTGTTTTATCAGGTTTCAACTTCTTTGTTTGTATATTTGCTAACTAATCGTAGAATCAATTGTGCACTCAGTTGGGAAATTAGACTCTACTAATTTTGAAAAACAAAGCTCTTTTGAGGCGAGTGTCAACAGTCAGGTTCTGATCATTCTATTTTAATCTTGTATCTCATTCTCACTGTGTTTTCCCTCCTCACAGGATCTGCCAAATGCTATGAATGCTGCAGAAATCACAGACAAGCTTGGCCTGCACTCACTTCGTAGTCGTCAATGGTTTATCCAGGCTACATGTGCCACAAGTGGAGACGGCTTATATGAAGGACTGGATTGGCTGTCCAATACTCTAAAAAAGAAATCCTCATAATGAGTGGTTCTAGAGGCTTTTCTTTTTATTTTCCTTTTTTTTTTTTTTTTTTTTTTTTTTTTTTTCCCCTTTTGCAATTTGCACATTATGTATTTGGGACACTCAGAGCTAATGAGCTGAAGCATTAAAATTACAATTTGAAATTCAGTGTTTACTTCCGATACCATCTTGCTTTAAGATGAAAGCAGCTGCATGTTTTATTTTCGTATCTCTTGACTGGTAGGAGTTTAGTTGTCACTGTATCGGGTCTGAAGTGGTACACACACACAATTTTGTTTGTGTTTTCCCAAGTACAGTGAATGTAAATGAATGTGATACTATTTTCGCATTTACTTTTTTTTTTCCCCTTTGTTCTTTAAGGCTCTGGAGTGCATGCATGATCTGGAATGCTATGTAGATAGGGGAGAAAAGTTCATTAACCATGTGCACATGATGCTTGTGAGGGGTTTGTACACGTGCTCACCACTTTTGACCTGTATCATCTACTGTTGTGGGAGTTTCTATCAGGAGTTGCTTGTATATATATGATGCAACTTGTTCATCCAAAGGACAAAAGTGTGGGGCTTATACAAGTTAATTGTTTCTCAAAGTGTGTGATTGTTGTGCGGGTTGTTGTTTTTTTCTTTGTGTTGTTGGTTTCTTTTGGGATTGGAAGAGATGAGGTTACTTTATAGTACCCTACAAGAGAAGGTCGTGTGGATTAGTCCCTGTTTCTTGTGACATCCTCAATCCCCACGTTAAAATGTGCTGCAATTGTTTGCCGTTTTCTGTGTCTGCGAGGTGACGATTTCCTCATCATCATTCGATTATTCAGTTTATACAGTTGAAGACTCAAGTTAGGCTAAATGTTGTTTTTGTTCTTCACAATTCATATTTTATATTCATGTGCACATTCCAATAGTGAACATTTTCTCTCATCAAAAAAAAAAAGAAAGAAAATGCAGACTTGGTAATCTGCGCTTTTGTCTTGCTTGGATTCTTTGTTGTTGTTTGTTTTTTTCCTCCCCTTGAACTTGGAGTGTAATGGTGTATTTTGGTCAGCTGGGTTTAATGGGAACTACTAGGGGCTTTTTTTAAAAGGGGTGGGCGTGTGTCATTTTCTTTGTTGTCATGTTTGTGCAAGTGAGCAACTGGATTGTCAGTAAATTTGTTTTCGAAGTATGTATTTATTGAAACAATCATTTCTTGTATGAATGAAATAAAACACACAAAAAAAGTCGGTACATTTAATACCCTTTTGTTGATTGTATTATATTTTTAAGTCGGAAGAAGTAGAAGTTGCATGACCTCATGGAATACCCTGTGTCCATTCTGTGATTTTGGGACCTTTTTTTTTTTTTTCAAGGGTTATTTGGAGTGCTAGGGAAATAGCATAGAAAAAGAGAACCGGACCTCTGGATGTATTGCCATATATGTGGGAATATTTTATTCTTACAAGTGGGCTGGTTCTAGATAGACTGATGAAGTCTCAAGTGGATGAAAATTGTTTTAAATAGTAGCCCAGCCCCCCCCCCCCGCCAATTTATAAATTCTATAAAAATTTAGATTCATCTTCAAAGCAGCTTGTAAAACTGCAAAACAACTTCTCCACTGTTTTTGAAGTAATCAACCGTCCACATTTCAGAAAAGCTAGGTATAAAGTGTATTTTATGGAGCGGCTTGAAACTTGACGCTTGTGAAGACAGAATCCTGTTTGCATGACGAGACAGTAGGTCATACCAAAGGAACACTTCCAAGGAGGAGAATACAATACTGTTGTTTGGTAGGTCAAGGACCAGCAAGTGTTGGAATAGTCATGATTAGCTGAAGGTGCCACTTGACCTTTTGTTTGAGGTTAACAGTTAATATAAATGTCAAAAGCACTTCATTTTCTGAGACATGCATTCTAAATCTTAAACATGGTGGTACATATGTGTACAAAATATACTTCCCACTTGGTGATTTGTCCTTTGGAAAGGTAAATTTTATCATTTTCTCAGTCCACCAGGTTTGATAAGTTTGACAGAGTTTGAGGAGAACCATCTGGTTTACAGTGTGGGTGGTTGGTGGGTGCTCTGGTGTGGTTTGCTCCTTCTTTCCCATCACTGTATCTATTGTTTTTATCTCTCTCCTTTATCACATCGAATCTTCGGACCTCCTAATGGCATTGCAAGTGCTGTAAAACTCGTACTAAATCTTTTTTAACCCTATCCGTACACCCTGGGGTCATTTTGTACCCCCGGGGTTGTATTCTTCACATTTTAGAATGCTTCTAGTACGAAGATCTCTTTGAAACTCAGTATTTCTCAAAAAATAATTTTGACAAACTGCTATGCAAAAGCGTACGGATCGGATATAACGAGTAAATTTCCTCGTAGGAAAGTGGTGGCACAGGGCTCCCCACGTCGTATGGATACGATAGTAAAACACAGCGTACAGATAGGGTTAAAAAGGTTTACAGTGTGTTGCACATGGTGAATTTAAGAGAGTAAACAACTGACGATGAGAGGCCACCCCACTTTGGTTTTGTTTTTGGTCGTTTTGTTGGGGTTTTTTGTAGGTGCTTTTATGACCCTTGCTGAATGATGGGGAGAGGTGAGCAGAGTAAGTCTGATTCCCTGTGTAAAGGCTTCTCTGTTGACATCCACCCCTTGGCGATCATATGACCTTATGCAGTTGTGAGCACCGTAAAACCTCTACTAAAACTTTTGAAAAACTGACTGAAAGATAGGGGTACTCGACAAAACTCCCTACATAGGAATTGAACTCGGGGATTTCCGGTGTGTGAAGAAGTCAAAGCGCCTTACCTACACACCACAGACGACAATACCCCATTTTTGTGTCCTCTGGGAAACTAGGAATCGAGAGCTGTAGGGAGGTCATGAGGCTTTACTTTGATCAGAACGGATTCTGTCAAAACGTACAAAATCTTTTCTAACACTGCAGATGAGGCTTGCTCATGTATTTATTGAGGAAGGAGCTGTACTAAATGCTCAAGGGCAGGTGGAAAAAAGGGCTATGCTTATACTAAGAGTCTCCTCTGTGTCACATTATTACATGTACATTTACTACTTTATGTACAATGTTATACTATGCCTACATTTCCAGCAACTGGTGTAGTTATGCACTCCAGTCGCGTGCAGAAGACTAGAGTTAAATTCTTCTGTGCGGAGAACTGTTATCGAGCCTCTCTGTCTGTGTGACAATTCCAGCGGAAATTGACCCAAAAAAATCAATGCCAAAAACCCAATTCTACAAAAGTTTCAATATAATAGACTGATCCCAACTCCCATTGTGTTGGCATGACATCATGTAACATTTTGACGGGGGGGG